TGGACAAACAGCAGCAGTGTTAGTGCAGGAACAGTGATGTTGGTTTGTCAGGGAGGATTAAGACAGCAGCTGGAGAGACTTTTCCACCCCTCTGGCAAAGGGCAGAAGGTGAGGTGGGGGCACCAAACCCAGCTGTACCTCTACAACCAGGGATGAGGGAAAGTGCTGAAAGGCAGTGGGAGTGAGGAATGCTGCATGGCAAGCAGCTGGGCTGAAGCAAACAGGAGCAGAGCAGCAGAAAGTGCGGAGTAGGGAGAGCTGATTAATGCGAGGGATCAGTGAGGAACAGGGAGAGCTGATTACAGGAGGCAATGCACAATGTACCAGCAGAGGACATCTCAGTGAGATGTTCCCCCATGCCCCAAATCCCAAGCATGTGTTGTATGGACCGTTTAACTATGGGGTCAACAAGCAGGTTTTTTCATTCAGTGGTTAGATGCATATTGGCCTAGGCTACTGAGTTTGGAATGCTTCCTATGGGAGGTGATTTTGGTTTGCTGGAGGCCAAGGGGAATGAAAACTTGCTAGTTTTAAAAATATACAGGTATGTACACACTCAGAACAGCTTCATACTGAGGAGATCTCCAAGATGCTTGAGTGTACCTGTCATAGTAATGAACAAGTCAACTACAAGCTTGTTCTGTACCACAGCCAGCCTTCTGCCACCGTGGGGCCTGGCACCATCATCCTCTGCAGAATCCTCTTGGAATTGAGTAAGACTGGAAAGTTGAGTTGAGAAGCATCTGACAGTGCGTCTGCCTCGTCTTCCTGACGTGACTTTCCCCGTGGCTCCTCCTTTCTGTTCATCACAGCGTTGTGATATGTAGGTGGCCCATTAAGAAAGGATGTAGGTGAAAAAAATGTGTTTTACCAAGGCATTGTTTTCCAAAATGACATCAAACTAAAAATGTGGAAAAATCCCCTGGTTTGCTTTGTCTGTGTGTAATAGTCCATCTGTTGCAAAAAGCAGTAGTTTTAAAAATGGAGATACTCTTTGGGCAGAAAAAGAGGAAAAAAAATGCTGATGTTTTGTTCTTTGGCTTTATTAGTAAAGATCCAGCTATGTGGTGGTAATTTGTGTGGGGTTATTCTTTCTTCCCTGTTGTCCTTCCCTCCAGCACTGTGGTGATCTGACAGCTGAACTGCTTCCCCCTCTCACAGTCCTTCAGGATGAAACATGTGCCAGAAAAGTGGGCAAGTGGGCAAATCACTTTTCTTTAACCTTCACATTTTACTAGCACTGCAAGCCCCTTTCCTGCTGCTTCTCCCAGGTGGTTTTTAGAGTTCGTTGCTCAAGTAAGTGCAGAATGTTGCTTTCTTTCTGGCCCCATAGGTCCTGTTGAAGAGTTTGCATCTAAAGCCAGACTCAGGATGACCTGGTTTTTAAAACACATGCAGGAAATCTCTGTCCAGCTGATTGGCATTTGTTTTCCAGCTTTGAGAAAGTTTGATGTGTTCCTCGAGCTAGGTTTTAACAGAAGGAAACTTCAGGCATGCTGCAAGCAAGGGTCAGTATTTCTGTTTCAAAAAAAGTCCCTTGTGCCACTCATGGCTGTCTTTTTGCCACCCAGAGAAACTGCTGCATTTTTGAATTAGGGGCATTAGTTCTGTACAAATTCAGCTGTAGCTAAATAAATGCACTGGGGCTTTTCTAGCACAAAAGATCTCTGCAACATCAAAACGGCATAGGATAGAGAGGTGGGAGGATGTATGTGTGCAGGGTGTCAGGTAATAGCTGAGCAGCAGGCTGCTGCCTGAGCCCTGTCCCATTAGGGTGTTTTATGCAGCAGTCTTTCCTGGTGAAATTGCTCAACTTTTCTCCCATTTGTTCTCAGTGGTTGCATGTTGATTCACAGGCAGGGCAGCTGTTATTTGTATGCAGGGAGCAGCAGGGACCTGACTTTGAGCCACAGGTTCCCCTTGACATCTGCGACTGGACTGCTGTAAATCCAGCTGCAGCTATTAGATAAGACAGGGCTAGGCAGGAGGAGAGAAATAGAGTGAGACACAGCTAGAGATACATCTATCCCTGGGACTTCTCTCACTGCCTAAAGCCAAAATAACACATCTATGCAGGAAGGCAGTTACCTCCATCTACAGGGGTTGAGGTCAGAGGGCTGCTTGTCACTGTTCCCTCTGTTTTCTCTGCTGTCCCCTTTACCTTGCAGCACATGGTACCTTGGAACAGTGGCTGCCAGTACCACCTCTCCTCTTTAATTGCCTTATTATCAGGGAGTTGCTTTGTAGAAACTGTCTTACGCTGGATCCTGTCCTGCATGGTGTCTCAGGAGTCATTTCCCTGCCAAAAAATAAAACTGTAAAAGCCCAGAAGGCAGCTCAGGTGGTGATAGGGCATTAGGGAGGAGGACTCCCATAGCCACAGGGCCTACAAAGACATCCTGGCCCATTTCTCTCACCCACTGAATTAGCAGTGCTAGATCTGAAAAATAAAATTTAAAAAAAAAAAAAAAAAAAAAAAAAAAAAAAAAAAAAAAAAAAAAAAAAAAAAAAAAAAAAAAAAAAAAAAAGCTTCAGTCTGTGAAAAAAACATTATAGCTTTGCTGACCTGTGTGCCAAGTGGCTTCTTGGATACATGCATATAAAGCTAACCCTTCTGAGGGTTTTGGGGTTGGGTTTTTTGTTTGTTTGTTTGTTTTCAGTGGGGAAGAAAGAGGAATTATTGCCTTTGCTTCTTCACGTGGTCGGAAGAGCTTGTTGGAAAATGTGGTCCCAGCTGTTTGTTGTCACAGCAGCGTAAGCTGTCACAGAGCTCTGAAGGAAAAGACCAAAAAAAAAGAAGCCACCCTCAAAACAAAAGAGCCTTGTCTTTACATCATCTTCTCCCAAAGTGATGAAACACAGGCCACATCGGAGCTCCAGGCAACGTGTACCAACAATCCCTCATAGTGCCTTTGCTTACAAAACAGTGTACCTGGAGATTTCATTGTAGCAGAAGAGGACTGAACCCCTTCTTGTTCTCATTGCTGCTGGGGCCAGGGCAGCAGAGACCTCAAGGGTTTCCTTACACACCTGCTCACAGCCTCCTCACAGGTACAGCAGACACATTTTCAGGATGCCCAACTGAAGAAAGGACTGCAAGGGGTTATTGCTTATGTTCCTGGCTCCTCACTCAGGTAACAGTGGCTCCACTGAAGTATCTCCATTCTGGCCAAGCCTCGTCAAGGCATTTACCACCCCCCCCCTCCCCGCCGTATCAAACACCTCTGAAAGAACCAGGAAATGGATTGCAAGACATTAAATCACATTCCTGATGTAGATGAGGCGATCTCGCAGGCAGGGAGTCAGCTGCATATGGGCACAGTGCCTCTGGGAAGGGACAGGAAAGTGCCCCACGCATCCCCAAATCTCCCAGCCACCAGCACCAACCTTACTCTGCAGCCGAAGCACCACCCTTGTCTCATCAGCGAGGTACCAAATCTCTGTTGTGTTAGAGGGGGCACAGCAGGTGCATCCAGAGAATTGCGACAGAGAAAGCACCAAATCACCACGGGGCAGTTCACATTAGCAAAGCTGCAGCAGCTGGCAGCTCCTAGGGCATCACCACTGCCAAGTAAAATCCTGTTGGAATTGTCGAGGCAACAAGAGGAAAAGGCACGTAAACAATCTGCAAGTAATTCATATGGATGCCCACCACAGGTGTTGTGTTTTCAAGAAGAGAGCAAGCACCAAGAAATTTGCTAACAGGCGAGTCCATGTGTTGTAAGAGGTAGCGTCATCCATCAACACCAGGAAATAAACTACCCAGACTTCAGGAAAACTTCACCTGAAATTGAATTTCAGTGTACAAAGGCTTCTATTCAATGCGTCCAGGACAATGCCAGCTGTCATAGATACATTTCATAATATAAAAGGACTTAACAACATCTATCTACTAACATGAGGTCTGTTGTCATTTCTATTGACAGAAAAAGGTTGGATTTGCTTTTTAAAAAAATCGTCTTGTACACACAACCACACTCAGTGACATACACAGCTTTACACTTCAAATGCACACTAATTTAGAAAATATATACAGTTGTGGTGTGCAGATAGAACTCGTATTCATATAGAAAATTTACTTTTTTTTGTTACCTTATGTGTCTGTCAAGCCTTGGCTGCACACACAGAAGTACTTTGCTTTGTCCCATCTGTGCATCAGGTCAAATAACGCTATGAAGCACCTGCCCCAAAAAGTTATTATTTGCCTGAACCTAGAGAGGAGAGCAGATTTACAGAGGTGTCACCTGAAGATGGCAGCTTCACTTGGTACTCTTTGTGGCAGCAGTAAGACTGTAATGAAAAAGCTACTATGTCTCTGGGACTAAACTCCCATCAACATCAAAGGGAGTGAACCTGCAACTATGCTCCTATCTGTTCTTACTGTAAAAATATTTTCCAATTTAGGGAAGAAAACCTACGTATTTCAGTGTTTCTACCTGTTCTGTCGAGAGGTACAAGTAGCTCAGGTTGTAACACCTCCCTCTCACCACAAACATTTAGGTTATCTGTCTCCTACAATCTCACTGCTGGCAAAACAAGGTGAGCCGCGATGTCAATCACAAAGGCAGCATCCAGGTGAGGGGCAAGAAACTCGAGTCCCAGTCCTTCACTGTTTGGATTCATCATTTAAAGTAACGACTCCCTCTTTTCTAGGGCACTTGGCAGAGCCCCTGCCATGCCTCAGACAATGCCTGGTACTCTGGTCACAGCGACTTCTATTGCAGCATCTTTTTGTATAACATCAGAACCAAAGTGTACAAGAAAAAAAAAAAAATCACAAAAGAAAAATACCGTAGTCACAATTTCTGATAAGAGCATCGCCCTACCACTTCTACCCTCTTTCTCTGTCATTTCCCTTAGATGTGGGGGACCCCACATTTCTGCTGTGGGGTCTTGGGAGGGCGCATGACTCTGGGGCTCCATGAAGAACTGCTATCAGTAACCTGCCACAACGCAATTAAAACCATGATTAAAATGAACAATAAATAAAGAGAAAGACGTACAGGTTTTAAATATAGGTTTCCATTAAAAGCATTACAAAGACAACTTCTCTCATTTTGAAGACAAAGAAAAAAATCCACTTCTACTAAAAACAAAAGAAAAAAAAAAATTTTAAAAATCACCCCCTTTGCAAATAACTTTAATGAGGAAAGGTGCAGGGAAGGGAGGGAGAGAGGACTTGGAGAACTAGCAAGTGTTCAGAAGGGCAGGTGCCCTCCATCTCGGCCGTTTTGCAATTGCACCTTCTTCTCGCACAGTCAGGTTAGAGAGCCAGAGTCCTCACGTGGAGGATTTCACCACCTGCTCGTAGGGGGGAGGTGGTGTGTTGCAGTAGGAAGGTGGGGGCGGGTAAACCGGGTTTCCTTGCGGGGAATTGGGCTGGACGTGGAAAGCCATAGCCATGGGATTCATCACAGGTCCACCTGGATCTGTGTAATACGGCACTCCAGGTTGTTGTGACCCTGAAAGGAAGAAAAGGAGAGAAAAGGCATCAACAACAGCAGCGACATCAGGCTGTGCTTGCCCAGGGCCTGTGCTCTGTGCACCTGGACAGATTCAAGTTTTTTTCAAAGTGTTCATCAGAGGAAAGACAGGGAGCTATCTTTCTCCCTTCCAGAGAAAACCCAGACTTGCAGGACTACATTCACTTCTTCAGATATCACCAGAAGGTTTCAATTTTGCATCCAATGGAAATCACTTAGTGAAACAAAGGGCACCACTACTCCAAGCAACTACCATTTGAAAGGGAAAACAGCAATCATCTCTGTTCAGTTCCCCTGACAGAAAAGCTACTGTGTCTGCAGAGAGGAGAGGTGTAGGATCCCAGACAGACAGGAGGAGTTTCTACCGTGGCCCTTACTCAGGTGTCAAGTCTTACAAAAGGACTTCATAGATTATTTTGTGGTGTACTGGATCTGCTGATAAGCCAGAGTGCATCTCAAATAGGTAATTTCCCTTCTAGGCATGATACAGCTTGGAAGCAAGAGGCCAAGATGAAGCCAGTTATGGCTGGCTAACACAATGGGACAAGATTGTTTCGCACAGATTAAGTTTAGGAAATGACGCCTGAGCCTGCAGGGACAAGGAAAGGAAATGTATGATCAAACACAAAATTCCTTGGCTATGACACGTGAGGAGTAACAGAGGCTGCTGCCATTAGGAACAAAGATGGTGTAACCCTCCTCAGATATCACAGTGGGTGGTGAAGATGACCTAATGTAATTGAATTCACAGACTGTCTCTATCTCGAGATGTAAATTAGTTTTCTTCTCTTTCTCCCTGTCTACTTAAATAAAGATGGACTGAGAAAAAAAAAGATCATGTCTGACCAACAAGTTTTCTTCTTTTGATGCTAGTCTGTGTTTTCTAAAATGACACGGCCTGTAAGGGATCTTCCCCTCAATCATTCCTTTCCGTCACCTTGGACCCAGTATTGCCACAGAGGGAATACAGGCTTCTTTAAGCATTCCTACAGGAAGGAGTTACATGCCAAGCCCCAAAACACATTATTACAATATTAAATCAGAGAGGGAACGTGGGCACAAACTGTCCCAGAGCCTGGGGTGTCTGCCAAAGGAGCTGTGTTTGGACATTCAGGAGGAAAGAGGATAGAACGCAGATCAGGAATGAAGCTATTTCCTTCTTAACACAGTAATTTTTAAACACACCATCACAATATCTTTCCCTTTTGCCTGTGTGAGTGAAGAGAGCTGCTCCCTAGCCTCCCTACTTTGCTGCAGCAATGAGAAGCCCCTGCTCTGCCTCCATTTATAACATCAGTTCATGGCTGCAAGAGAGCCAGGCTGGGCTCTTACCTCTCCAGTCTACCCTCTTCTGTAGCCTTTTTCTTAAGAATTTTTGTTTAGATGGACAGTTAAATCCTGCCCAGCTCTGCATTTCTCATTTCCATCTCTATGGGAACGTGGAGAGGTTGAGGTAGCTTTCTGCAGCTTGCTCTTTAGGAAAATAACCATTTGCATTAAAACTTAGGTGTACTATTGAATCTGTGGGGGAGGGAAGTGTGGACACCAATCTTTCAGTCCACTAAACGCAGAAGAAAGTAACATCTGAATATCAACATCCTTGTGGGATCAGCTGGGAGAGCATTTAGTAAGTGACTGTAAAGGGACCTGACCACTGCCAGCACCTGAACTGCCAGTTTGGGGTTATGTAGGCCAGGACTGAAGTGAGGGATACCACCACATCTGCAAACGGCTTCCTGTGGGGGGGGGGGTTCAATTTACTTTCCCAATCAGGCCCAGAGAAAAAGCATGCCCAGCAGAAGATGTGGCTTCTGTCATTGCAGAGAAAGGAGGAGACTGGCAATGAACCACGTTTTAAAGGGCTCCATCGACCTCAACAGTGAATTGCCTACTACAACCAAACCTGGAAGAGGTGGAAAATGGGAACTTGGTTGTCTACTAAGTCCCATTGCTTTTGACTGTTGAATATTCCTAGATAAGTAGAAAAACTAAAACAAAACAAACAAACAAAAAAAAATAAATAATGGGGTTAGCTCAGAGCCCAAAGCTTTTAAGTAACAGTAACAACAATCTGGAAGCAGGTGCCATAAGCAGGCCAAAGACCTTGTGCTTATTTTATATTTGTCCGCAATTTGTGTTCCATGAAGGGTCATGAAAAAGTAAAACTGTGCTCTAAATTTAAACCCAGTGTTTACCAATCCAGCCAAAGGCACTACTCCCTGTTCACATAATCTCAAGGGTATTTTTCAGGCTTAAAAATATCAGTTTAGTTAGATTGGCTCCCCCCACAGATCAAAAATACTCTCTGTTCAGTCAAGGAGAAAAACAGATGCAGAATGGAAGCCCTAAAAAAAACCCTCTTAGGATTTAAACAAGGAGGGTGAATAAAGTTAACCATTTAGACATGAGAGAAGGCGAGGGAATGCAGTATGAGTTCATGCTTAGGGATAAAGAAGGAGCATTTCCAAAGTCTACGCAAGGATGTGTAATAGCTGGCACTGGAGCAGCGAGAGCCCAAATGCTGCATTTCTGCTCAACATTCATAGTCCCAGCAAGCTGGGGGAGGGGAGGGACACTTTTCTAAGGAGGCTGCCTTGATGCAGCCACAGTATTGCAGAGATATAATAGCTCAGAAGAAGATTTTTGATAGATAAGTTTTAGGCACCGCATTTGCAGAGAGGTCCTCCTTCTCATTACAAAATGTTCAGTTTTATTTCCGTGACGGTCTGGGAGGAAAAGTGCCAGTGTCCCAAGCATGCCTGCATATATGTGTGTGTACTTTCACTGGCAGACATTAGCACCGGCCTGTGCCACGTGGAGAGCGGTTAAAAATGTCTCAGTTGAGCCCTGCTGAGGCAGGGAGAAAGAAATCACCAGAGTGTGTGCTCAGATAAAATCTCAGCACTGCAGAAGGTCTTTGAGCTAGAGAGAGCTGCATTTAAAATAAGGCACAAACAGCTTCTGCTTACAAGCGAGTCACATTTTGAAGGATTCTCCCAACTGGAACTATTTAACAGAGGGGAAGAAATTACAAACTTAGAAAGCAGTATTGCCAGAGGAGGCCTCTCGCTAGGTAGATCCTCCTGATGCTCACAGCCAGTACTGACCAGAGAGACAGCAAGCAGACTAACAACGGGATAAGGACCACTTTGCCAGAGAAAAACTGTAGCACAGAGCATTGAAGGCAAATAAAAAAGACTTGCAAAGACAGCCAGATTGTGGAAGAAAACGCTAGGCTTTCCTTCGCCTCTGCCAGATGTTATCAACTCTTTCTTCATGGTACTGTTGATTCTGGATACCTATCCTTCTGTCTACACTGCAAAGGGGGAGCTTGCTAGCCTCCTTCCATGCCTGGACACTGCAGCTGAATAAAGCTGTTTGAAAGGCTGAAGATGTCACTCATCACAGGAGGTGGCTGCGTGGTTTAATCCACTGTGATCCCCCACTGGAATCCCCCAGTTTCCAAAACCCAAACAAGCAAAAGCTCAAAGCCCACCCTTTTAAAATACCTTGGCAAATGTAAGAAACTAGTGAAACTTGTATAACGAGCAGTCTCTGACCTGATGCGGTGTTGACTGGTTGTCTGGTGTAAGACACATTAAAAGTAGGTTCTTCTACTAATGGAGGAGGGTACATCCGTCTGCGGATAAAGAAACCAGCTCCGCAACAGAACAAAACTCCCATCATCAAAAGGAACCTGAGGGGGGAAAAAAAAAGAGGGAAGTCAAAACCCACCTGCATTCAGGCAGCTCTCAAACCCAGACTGTTCACTGAAAACACTTTACATCAGCCTTTGACTTTTATCGGGGTTTCTTAAATAGGATGTCTCTTGAGAGCGGGCCTGTCATTTCAGGCAGCACTCATGGGGCACTTATGGATGCATTACGGGCATCTTCAGTAAAATACAAACCTCAAACAAAAACACCCTTGACCTTTTCAAAAGTTCATGTTCATACCTGACCGCTGCCACCAGGATGCTGAACTGGAATTCCAGGTACAGCTTCAAACTGTGCATCTTGGATGCAAGGTTTATAGCATCTAGGCTGGTCAGGAGGTTTGTGGGAGACAAAGAGGAATACTATTCTGCAGCTGCCATTAAAAGAAGATTCTTAGGTGTTCTTAAATTACCCAACACTGTAGTTTTGTCTCCCGTGGGAAATATGGTAGCTGGCATTTAAGCTCAAACCAGAAGACTGGATCATTCAGCACTGATAACAACAAGCTTTGCTCTGTGCTTCCTAGGATGGGGCATTACATTCTGAAGGAAAAGGACACGATTTTGCCTCAGTTCTCCCTCCTCTCAGCTGCTTTTTTGACCTAACTAAACTGGCCTCATCATTCCCTTGCCCTGGTGCCGCGGAAGCAGGAACATGCAGTGAGGGGACATGAGATTTTGTTCTTTTGACAGTGGCTTTCAGTGTGTTTTCTTGAGGAGTTATCAGACACGCCAGTGACTCACGCAAGCTCTTGTAAATACACATGGTTCTTCTGCCTGTAATTGTCCTCCCATTTGGTGGCCCTTTACTGGAAGACAATGACAACTGTGCTTTTTTGGAAGGGAAGGAAGTTGTCCAGAGGCAAGCCTACACACCAAGCTTATCTCCTCTGGAGAATTCCCGGATGTCTGAGAGGAACAGTATTGCACACAGCATGGCAGCAAGACTAATTTCACGCAAAGGGTCAAACTCTGTTCTTGTTTCTACATTAGAAATGAGAGCAGAAGGAGGTCCTGTTTCCCTGAGCCAATATTAATACATTCCCCTTTGGCAGTACTCCTGCAAAGGATTTGTTCTGAACAGAAAAACAGAGATTTACGACGTCACCCCAGGGATTGGGACAGAGAGCTCTTCAGTTACATCAGTAAGGATTGTACACTGAAATCCTACAGTCAGCTTTGGGAAATCTCTGTATTATAGTACATATCAGGCTTCTGGTTTTCAGCGTTTATTTGTTTCAGTTTTTAAGGCTTTTATTTTTTTAATCAGACTTAAAGTTCTGCGTAAAAATGCCTGAAATCAGGTTTTCTAGGAGACTATTTGCTTTCTCTCTACTGCAATGAGACAATGAGAAGGTTTTATTCAGGTGCTTTCTTAAATTCCACTCCGAAAGGACTTTACCTTATTTTTTCATTATGCATATAACAGTGATTAGTTTAAGCTTTATCCAGATTACTGGGCTGCTGGTTTCACAAGCTCAAATCTTTCTGCCTTCTTTTCCCTTGCTGTCATCTCCAGTAAAATCCTCATAGTCATAAATGTACTTCCCTTCCTTTTTAATTGAAGCCTCAATTCAGCTGGCAAGAATATATTAAACCCTGCCTAAAAGCACAATCCTCCTCACACAATCCTCTTTTAAAACTGAGTGCCCAACAAAACTGGATGAATGCTGCTGCTTGGTAGTAGCTAGGACAGGCATAAAGAATTCAGCAATTTTGAATAAAAATGGGACCACCGCCTGTACAAACCCACAGGATGCAGAAGCAGGAAAGGTCAACCTGACATGAGTAACCTTTTCCAGTGTTTTCTCACTACAGCAGGAGAATTTTATAAGCAAAACCCCCAAAATCATTGCATTTCTATGTACACCTATACTTTACTGCATACTTGTACTGCTGTACTTTAAAGTGCTAGGGCTGGCAATACTCTCATTTAAGTCCAACAAACAAGGCAAGATGAGGACAAACATAAAAACTCCCAAATGCCCTGACTTACCAAAAATACCACAGTCGCTGGATAGAGAGAGCTCTTACACAGCATCTTGAACCACAGCAATCCTCGTAGGAGCGACATCTGCAGAGAAACGAAGAGACAGGGGCATGAGGGGAGTGGTTGTCACTCAGCTTAAAATGCCATTCCCGACCCTGACACCATTCGCACCCCTGACCAAAGCATTATTTACGACGCTGCCACGAGCTGAGGAGGCAAAGCCTCCCCAAAAATGTTCAAGGCCAGGTTGGATGGGGCTTTGAGCATACTGGTCTAGTGGAAGGTCTCCTGCCATTAGAGGGGCAGGTAGGAGTGTTGGACTAGATGATCTTTAGAGGTCTCTTCCAGCCCAAACCATTCTCTACGAATAAGAACAGATTACCTTTGGCTGGATAAAGCTGTCAATCACATGTGTGGCACAGCTCTCTCACTATTCAGGAAATTTTTGACTGTTATTGAGACACTACCTTCCTATACACCAAATCTCAAATCACCTCAAAAAGACTGAATGCAGTGTTCAGTTCTATATAAAAAAAGGACATATCACAAAGAAAAGCAGTATTTACTGTGTTTTCTTTCACAGTAAATGAACGTGAGAGACCTCAAACAGACATTTGGGGTTTTATTCACTGCAGCGGACAAGAACTGCCAGGAAAAAACTGAAGATCACCCACTCTTTGCAAATCAGCACATCCACATACCAAAAGAAAAGAGGAAGTGACCACAGCTGGATTGATCTTTGTAAGGGTGCTCACATCTGTTTGCTTAATGCAAATATTTATTTCAGCACCTGATCTGCTTAAAAAAAAAAAAAAAAAAAATCCGCTCAACTGCATGACTGTGCTCTCATATTTGTATGCAAACAAAAAATCTTCAATTGAATAATTGTACAGTCAATTACACATTTACATGCTCAATTAACAAGCCTTCACTCCCTTCACTCACGAAATGCATCATCACATAAGCTTCAGCCTCTAACTGGGGCCGGGGGAGGATGCTCTACGGATAGATAATCAGCTGTTTTGCAAGTGAAAACAGCTACATACTCTTCTGATGACAAATAAGTAGGATTTATTCAAGCAAGCTGGAGGCTCTGACAGGATCACTATGGCAAGGTTCATTAATAGACTCAGGCACCCTGTTTGAGACTCAGGCAAAGGAAGTTGCTTGTATCAAGAGAAAACACACACTTTGCTGTCACTGAACCTGAAAGCGACCCCATCTCTGACTTTCCTTCTTTAAAGCTTGCCAGGATCCTAACAACTGCTCATACTCCAAGCTACCAGACCTCACAAAACTACTAACAAGACTTAGCAAGTCAGCATCAACTTCAGTCCTGTCGGGACTACAAGACATATTAAATTCATGGACAGATTCAGGTCCCTTAAAAAAAGGGGCTGGAAGCTGCTAAACCTTCTGTTGAACCAGTGGTCTACCATGGCCCTTTCGCTCTTCAACATGCTTTGGCTTGGAGCAACTTCAGCCACCTTGATGGACACCTGCCCCCTTGGCTGATGCTGCACACCAAGGACTTTGTTAGGCCAGAAAAGCAGAGAAGAAACAGAACCCATAAATCCAGAAGCCCTTCTTGAGAGGCCATTAAGGCAAAAATGAAAAGAAGGATTTTAGGGATGTGAGCAGTCTTCATCTCTGCCTCCACATTGGCTCTGTCAGTTCAGACACCTACACCTGACCATACACAGGATGGGGAGGGGATGCACCATTTCTCAGAGACCCAAGACCTTAATAACTTGTAATAACTTAATAAACTTGTAATAAAATTTAAGCTAAAATAGAGAGGGAATGGAAGCTGCACGTACACCTCTCCTATGCCCAACCCTTGCATTGCTTATTTTGCATCTGTTTTCTCAAGAACCAGAAGATATTACACATTTTAAAATGTATAACACATTTTTAAATTTATATTTACAGTCATTTAAATCACCAAATTTAAAGGAGCATCTGTATGAGAAGTATAGTACCTGAATTTACTTTTTATTTTTAATCATTAAATGATCTAGGCTTACAAGATCAGCACCACTTTAAAAGTCTCAAAGGCTTAGCTTTTACTCCTGCAAAAGAGGGCTAAAGTACCAGATGGAAGTCAGAAAGGCTACACTGCTGAATGTTTATGAAGCTCCTGAGACCACTGATGGCAAACAAACAAGCCATCAAAAAGAAGTTTTGCCTTCCACGCAGATGACTGCACTTTCAAATGGTTGAAAACAATGATGTAAAGGACGGAGGAGTCTCTCATTGTGCCAGTTCCTGATAATCCAATTTCTGAGCCAACTCATCCAAGGTTAAGCACTGTGCTTGCTGGGTGGATCTATGAAGGTAAACCTGTATTACCACTCAGAGGCAAATCCCTTTGGGATCTGACACTATTAACTTCTTCACTTTTTAACCCATAAAGCCACACAGGGGTTTTATTTTGTGTGCCTGTGAGAATGGACACATGTACCCAGGTGTAGGAGCCCGGAATCAAGGACAATGCCATGATAACCTGCTGTTTGTATTCCCCACCACCTGAGAGCAGCTCCAAAAAAGACTGGAAGAACAAACAAGCCATTTGCTGACACTGCCATCAGGCTAAAAGCTCTGTTGACCTCTTGTTCTTGATTTAATGCGCTATGAAAATACAACGCAGCTTCTGAGAATATCGATTCA